CTTACTCAATTCAAAGGTTCCATTGCTCAATTAATAGGTATATATATGGATGATTTCAAGCAAAACGGAATATATCCTACTTTTCATTTGACTTTGATTATTTTTCTAAATATGTTCTTTTAGCATAGATATGTGTAAAAATGTGAGCTCTTTCAGTTAAGTATTAATTAGATGAAATTTTCAGCAAGATGGGACTAAAAAACCGGTTTTCTAGTGATTCCGTCAAGTCCGAAAACAAAAATTTTTGTCTTATCAACATCTAAAGATTCTAAAGAAGAAAATTTTTTGTTTGAAATCGGTTTCGGATTCCTTATCCGGTAATAAGAGTGCTTAGAAAAAATTTTCGATAGAGATTTTATAGCCTGAGCAATTATCTATAGAAGGTACTATTTAGTTTTCAAAAATGCTGCATCTATTGGGAGATTTTTGTTCAGGTTATTTAGAGTAACTTAACATACATATAACATATAAAAGTTATCTCTAGGAAAATTCATTATCCTGAGATACACATATTTTTATTTTGCGAAGTTACGTCTCTAAAGAATGATTTTTGCCTATATATATATATAAAGTCTACTAAAAAAAAACTATTTTTGTTTTTTCAAAGACGATAAAAAAGAAGTCAAAGATAAACTTGGTCAAGTTAAATATTCTAGTCGTTTTGCTGTTGGTCTTTATTATCCAACTTCAATAATAAATCTCAATATTCCATGGCGTATCTATTATGTAGATAAAAATGAAAATGATTGTCTTCGTTATCTTGCAATAGATAATGCAAAACGAAATAAAAGTTAGTTATTGATTTATAATTTTCTTTTTTTCTATTTTTTCAATTGATAAAATATGTAAATTAATTAAATTTTAGATGAACCACCTTTTTCTTTAATTGCTCATACAAATGTTGATTTTGGTGCAAAATATATTGAAGCAGATACAAGAGTTATTGGAGAACAAATTAAAGAAAATATCTTTCAATTTTTACCTGAACTTCCACGTGATATTAATAATACAAAATATCATAAATGGAAATATTCACAAGTAAATTTAGAAAATTCGATTATTAAATGAAATATTGTTGTTTTTTTGCTCTGGGTCTAGGTTATTCAATCGTATCCAGATACACCAGGTTATGTTTTACTGAATGAACATCCTTTGTTAGTACTTGCTGGTGATAGTTTTGCAGCTGAATCGACATTTGAAGGATGTATTGAAGCAGCAATTGAAACAGCAAAAAAAATTTGTGAACTATTTAATTAAAGACTATTTTTATTTTGTTACGCCGAGTCTGAAGATTAGAATAATAGAATAAATGTTATTCCCGCAGTTAAATTCAAACTTTAAAGTATAAAACCAACTTTTAAACAGACATGATAATAATGTTTTCATAATGAATAAAAATCAAATATTCATTAACAATGTCCCATGACTGTTCTAGGATTATCCATGGATTTGTTATCTATATCCAAGTATAGTTTCAACAAAACATCGAATATCAGTAATCAAATGATATAGACATCGTATGATATATTAAATTTTCTAGAATATAATATATCGTATAATAATATAGATTGTTTAAATTCTCTTGATCGTAGGTATTATGAGTCATTTGAATGAAGAAGATCTAATGCTACTACAGTTTTCCATCAATAAAGTCAACATTTTTTTGATTTTCTTTAATTTTATGGTGCATGCAGCTGAAAACTTGTCGTACGACTTCTATAACGTGGATTCAATGGCTTCCTTATAGTTATATCGTTGAATATATTCAAATACTTTTGCTGTTTTGAAGTATCTAATGACCATGTTGGAATAATTTGATAGAAGTTTTATATTGAATTTTAAATACTTTTTCGTAATAATCGGATAATTTCGTATACTTTTTAACTAACAAGGACACTAAATCAATGTTGTTCTACGTTACGGCTAGTAAAGGACAATTATATGGATGAAGTTTATGTTTATTTGCAAATGTATAGCAATAATATGATAATACTATAAAAGAAAAAAGTTCTTTTTCAATTAGTAATATATTTTCATTGTGTACAAGTACTACTGAAGTTTCACTCATTAACAAGTAGGTTAAGTCAATGGTGTTGTAGATGACAACCAGAAATGGAGGATCTGACGGGAAACATATTTTGGCTAATTTCTAGTATTTCTTTATAGTATTTAAATGTTGTCGAATACTCTTTAATTGACTGATACACTGAACCGATATGTATGTAGATGACAAGTAAATCAGAGTGTTCTAGTAAAAGAGATTTTTACCTGACTTTGAGTGTCTTTTAGCAATATGAGATTGCATTCTGGGGAAAGCATTTGTCATGTATGACGAGCCCTAACTGTTTGCATCAGTGACTAAGTTCACGGTAATCATTCTCAGATGCAGTTTGGACCAATTTATCATAAAAAATTTCTGCTGGATCGAGGTGACCTATTTTAATCATCATTTTACCTATTTGATGCAAACATCCACATCCTTTGGAACAAAAGAAACCGTTCATCTCCTTCACTACTTCAATATTCTCAGTTTTTAGAGCATTCTTTATCATTCAATAGTTAAAAAATTTGTGAACATACTACTAGGCGGGAGACCAACGATTACACTATGGTTAGAATTGATCAATAATTTTCAGGTGTGGATATGAGTGAGTGTGGATGAAGAGAAGATCTACACCCACATTCCAAGACTCACACCTACATCTACACTCACATTCTGCATTCACACCCACACCCTAATGGTTGTCCAAGTGGACTATAAATTAAACAAGTAATACTCGTCCCTGCAACTCTGATGTGAGAATGCGTATCGGGGTGCATGCAGTGTGGTGCTTCTCTTCACTATTAAAAAAATTATACTCATACCCACACACTCACAACTACATTCATATCCACTCACCACAATACTCTCATACCACAACATAACAACCACACTTGACAGCAACATATCCGCACTGCACCGCAACACACTCATACTCCAAGATAGTGGAAACATCTGACTGGATGACACACTGATAACAAAACGACGTGATTGGCTGGTTTGCAAGCATGAAGAAAAACCATTTCGAAGAGCTGTTCAAGAGTCTCATACACATGTGTACAAGTGACTTTACACTTGCGAGCAAACTCATTCTATTTCATATGACTCTCTCTTCAGTCGTGGAAACAAACTTTTATCATAACCGTCTCTTAGGATAGAAACAATGAAAATTTCGCAAAAAGTTATTCGTATTAAGGTCTGTCTTAATGCAAACTTTCAAGTTGAAATTTGAAAATTAGTTTTCCTGGTATTTTTTAGATGAACCACACCATAGACTTAAAACATATCGCAAAAATGCAGTATCTCCACAGCAACAAACTAAAGATCTGAATTTTTTTTATCAATAATTAACTAGTGAAAAGAATTCGATTAATTCATTATTATCATTTTTTCAAATCATTTCTAGAATAATTGCTGTCAAACGATGATGATGATAATGAAGTTTTCCGATATAATAGTTAATCAAAAATCTAACCATTTATTTAAATAAATACATGTTTTAGGTGTAATTAAACCATCATCATGACAATCTTTAAAAACAGGACAAATTCCACATGGATTTCTTACAACTGGTGATGAATCAAGCATTGGTTTTATAGATCTATATAAATTATTTCGATGTCCATTTTCATTATTTGTTGTTGAAGCTACTGTTGTTTTTTCAATTTTTCCATCACAAATAAGTGTATATAATATTGATTCAATATCTTGTACAGTTAATGATACAGTAGCAATACCCATTTCATTAATAAGTGTAACAAGTTCAATACTTGACATAAATGAACTTGTTCGTCGTAAAAATGGATCATGTGGAAATTTTCTTATTGATTCATCTAATCGTTCATCTAATAATCGAGCACATTGTTCATTTAATACACGAACAAATTCAGCTTCAAATTCATGATCAGAATACCATGTACCACCAGTAATAGATGGATCAGGTGTCATTTCATAAAGCATATATACCTTTAAAAAAAAATCATCAATTTTTTGTTATTCTTATGATAATAAATTGCAGAAGAAGAAAACAATCATATTTTCATTCTTACTTTTTTCTTACTTGCATGTACAGATTTAACAGCTTTAATTAATTTTTTACTTTCTAATGATTTAAGAGTTTTATTAAGTATTATTTGTGATAATTTTGTTTTTGTACGTATATCACGCATCCATATACCTAAATTACTACTTTCTTTAACAAGTTGATAAACAACACGTTCCATTTGGTCAGTTGTACCACCACCACTTATTGTTATTGATGAACCTAATGCATTTGCTGTATCACGTATACGATAAAGAAATGTTCCTTGTTCAGTTGATGATTTAAGTAAATCAATTTTATTTAATGATAATAAACGATTTAATGCACTAACACGTTGTTGCATAGTAGCACTACGAAATGAATTTTCAAGAATTTTGTCACTAACACCATTTGGAAATTGTAAACATAATTGAATTATAGAAGATTCTAAATTAACAGGATCAAAATCAGATGTTTCAAGTGATGTTGATGTTTCCATTGGTTCAATTTTTGCATGAGAATAAGCCATTTCGCTTTCTTTTTTTATATTCTAGAAAACAAAATTCTTCACAGCAACTGTTTTATTCACTATTAAAAATATGTATTTTAACAAAGAATAAAACAAAAGGATATAACACTACAAACAAACAAACACTGCAAAAACAACAACAACAACAACATCAGTATTTTATTCGGTAGCAGCATCTTCATCTTCTTCAGTAATTGTATGATCTTTGTTTGGTTGAATAAGTCCATAATCTAAACAATGTTGAATTATATCCGAAACCATTTTTCGATTCTGAACAAAAAAAAGATCAAAAATTAAAATATATAATCGAAAAAAAAAATTATTTTTTTTTTCAATTACTTTTTCATTCATTAATCGATCATCTTTCATTTCTTTAATAGCAAATAAAACATCCATTAGGTCTGTTGCAACAATATGTGTTGCAATGTCTTTATTTGTTTTAATTATATTACGTATAATATAAAGAGCTCGAAATTGTAATTCAGAATCTTGTGAAGCACATAATTGTTTAAAAACGTCCGTAAATGATTTAATCTAAATAAAATAATAATAAATCGAATTTAATTGATTTACTTTTTTTGTTTGTTGTTCGTAAACACAAAAACAATCAAACTTACATTAACTATTTTTTCACATATGAGTCGATTTTCTTCAATATATTCATTTAATTTTTTACGATCATCATCTTGTAAATCAACATCTTTATAATCTTCAAGATCAATTTGTAATGATGATAAAGTTGCTAATGTTCCTAAAGCTGCTTTTATTAATAAATCATCTTCTTCTCCACATAATAAAACTAATAGTTTAATTCGATCATTTTCATCAGTAAAATATTTAATCACCTAAATGATAATAATCATTTAAATGATAGAAATAAAAATTCTATTCATTTATCTTACTTCTTCTTGTGCAACTAAATTACAGATACACTCTGTAGCTGCACGTCGAAGCATTTTATGTTCTTCATACATATAATGTTCAATATTTGTAAATCCACCTTCTTTTAAAATACGTTTTCGAACACTTTCACCAGCACCAGCTAAATTAGTTAAAGCCATTAATGCTTCGAAATTTTCTAATCCTGTATTTTCGACTTTAAGAAGTTGAAGAACTGGTCGAACAAGTTCAAGAATCTTAAAAAATGAAAAAACAAACTTATCAACACAACTCTTTTGAAGTTCATATATGGAATTCACATGTATTCTTTAGTCTCATTATATTCATAGTAGAAAATCTCTAGAACCTGTTGTACGTATCCATTATATCTAAAGCATGTCTCAATGCACTATTACATATATCGATAAGCACAGAAACACTGATATTGATTACCCATCATCCTTGATATTTTGAATATAAATTTTGACAGTAGTTACAAAAAAGTCCTGCTATTAGATAAAAAGTATCTGAACTTTAATTCTTTAGTCTCATAGTTTGACCACAAATAGAACATATTGAGCTCTGATTGCAAGGACTAATCAAGACTTGATTAGCCTTCAGTTGGAAGAGCTCGAAGGTCAACATAGATTTTTTTCTTCAGACGAGGATATCTCAACTTAGAAAATAAAACTCATGATGTTAGATTCTTCAATCGACAGCTCAGTGCTGTCTCTATCATCAATAAAATTTTAATGTTAAACAGTTTTAGTTTGCCTGATTTATAAAGTATTCCTTGAGTAATCTCCACATGAGAGTTGGTGGAAATCGTTGAAAAGTGACTGATATTTCCGGCTAATTTTAACCATTTGCCTTGAAATATTCTCCAGTGAATGTCCTTCTCAAATCAAGTTTTTCTTGAAAATTTCACGATCGCAATCGCCAATGGAGAAGACATCCATGTTGAAATAGTTTCAAACAATGGACGCTTCTCTGCGCCTCAAGATTGCAGCCAACTGAAGTACCTTATTTGTGACACAATATAGACATACGAATCTTGATTTGTTAATAACAAAACGGAGGTTAATGCATATAAATAGTGGAAAACTGAAAAAGTGTCAAAAAATCTTTTTTTGAGCCTTAAGGAAAAAACTAGTGTTTTTATCATAAGTCCTTTGCATTAAGTCCAAACAACCTCGGGTTGCTGCTTGTGATCAGGTTTGACCGAGTTCTATTCTGTAGTCAAAATATCAGGCAAAAGGATTGATGTACTTTTTACTGTATAGCGGGACTTCTTGCGACTACTGTATCTAAGCAGAAAAATCAAAACGTAAGTCTTATTTTTAGTGTCGTTCAGTGCCTTTTTTTCTTTGCTAAAGAACTCTGGGAAAATAGTCTGACGCTTGTTATCCTTGATTGCTCTGGAAACGCACCTATGAATCGTCGCATCGTTCGCCCTTGGTATCTAAGGGAAGTCGCATAAACTCGACTTAAAAACTGCCACTCACTATATTACTCTTCGATAAACAAAACGTGAGTTCCGCAAATTTTTTTTTTTTGAAAGTGCAACATTATTAACATACACGTTGACCAGGAAAAGCAATTTCTGGATTAGTTGTAATTGCTATTTTAGCTAATGCTTGAGCTGCTTTCGTTTTACCAACAGGTGTACCATCCAAAGTAAGTGGAAGTAAAGACTTAAAAAATAATATTGATTATTATAAATCAATAAAGAAATTTTTCATATATACTTTTGCTCCACCAGCAGCAACAACAGGTCCTCGATATTTTTCATTTTCACAAAGACCAAGAAAAACTCTTAAAATTTAAAAAAAAAATTCTCTTTTTATTTTTATAATACAAAGAAAAAAAACAAGATCTTTTATTCTAACCGTGCTACTTGTTCTCGACAATTTTCACTTTTATGTTTACATAATTGTACTAAAACAGGTATTATTCCAGCTTCAACTAATTTTCGACGACGTTCTTCAACAAATTCTGTATCATCCTTTTCAAAACAAAAAAAAAAAAGGAGAATTAAATAAATAATAATTTATCTTTATCGTATTTTACTTTAGGATGTTCTTTAGGTATATGTTGTTTAGCATATGTAGCTAATTCAGCCATTTCTTTTTCTGGTTTTCGTGTATCATATGTATTTGTTAAATTAACAAATATTGTTGTTATTGAATATAAAACATGTGCATCATCACATTGACATAGATTAAAAAGAGATTTTAATGCTGGAATATTATCAACAAGTTCTTCTTTAACATCAGCATCTAAAGTTAAATAAGCAAGACCATCAGCTGCCCAACGACGAATTTCAAATTGTCCACTTGTAGTTAAAAATCTTTGAAATAGAAAAGTCAAAAATTTCTTTTTTTTTTTTTTTGTTCGTTTAAATTTACTTGCAACATGCTCGAGCGAGTGTTTGACATGAACCTTCCGTAACAAGATTTGCACTTGTATCTGTACCTTTACTTGATGCAATTTTTGATAGACCCTAAGAAAGCAAAAAAAAAAAACATTATTCTTCGAATAAAATTTTAATAGAAGATATATTCATACCACAAGTGCAATAACTTTTATTTGTTCATTAGCTGATTGATAAAGATCTTTAAGAATTTCTGCACCTAATGATATAATACCAGCAGCTTTATCTTTTTTTGAAGCCGATAAAACAATTGCTTCAACTGCAATACGCTAAAAAAAAAGAAATAAATTAAATAATTAATATCAATCGATATTTAATATTACTTCTTGCACTGGATCACCTGAACCAGCCATTTGTATCATAAGATCTACTAAATTTTGACTACCTAAGATAGCATTACCCGTATCAAAAGGACCTTGTAATAAAACAGCTAAAGTAGCTATTGTTCGTACACGTGATTGAACATCATCTCGTTCATGTAATGCTCTAAAACAAATATTATTTCAAAAATCAAAAAACCAAAATCAACTCGGAGGAATAGACTATTGCTCGCAAAAATCGTTTTTATGAAAAAAGTAACTAATTTTAATTCGAACAAAACAATAAGCAATGATATCAATTTAATTGCTAATGAGGACTTATACAGTATGTTCAGAGGTATTTGAAAATCTCATTGTGAAGTCATTCAAATACTTTCAATTAATTGTACATGTTCAAATAATATATTTTTTTCTCTTTATTTATTATTATTCGGAATAATAAGGTGAATATTAAAAATAAACTTACTTAGTAAATTCCATACATTCATTATTAAAGTTTTCACGTTCTCTATCCGATATTAAATCATGATAAACAATACTTAATACACATGATATATGCATTTTTGTTTGTTCTGTTAATGGATATTGTTGTTTTTCAGTACCAGGTAAATTTGGTACTGTTGCTGCTACTCGTAATACTTTTGGTACACCTATTCGAATAAAAAAATAAATAAAATAAAAATTCAATGAAAAATTCTTATTTAATAATAATAATAATAATAACCTGATAGAATAAATTTGCTTGTCCAATTACAACCATTTGTTCGATCAACAAATTTAACAATCAGATCAAGACAACAATCACGTCCAATACCTGAACATGTTTTATCATCAATTAAATCAAGTAACATACGAAATGTTTCATTAATAAATTCAAGTACATATGGATCTAAATTTTTTTAAAGAACACTTTTTTTTTTTGTTTTAAATAATAAATAAATACCAAAATTATATGCAACATTGGCAGGTTTACGAACTTTTCGTCGATTTTCAAGATCACATAGTGACATAATCATGTTACTAACCAATATAGATGCACTTGTTGGTATTTCTGCATCATTCATTGCAAAACAACGAGCAATTGGTTTCAAACCAAGTTTATTATAAATTGTTTCAGCCTATAAAAAAAAGCCAAATAATCATTTATTAGCAAATAGTTTAATCATTCATAATAAAATTCTGTATTGTTTGTTTTTCGATTTTCCGAAGAAAAATCTAAGGTTTAAGATTTTATCAGTATCAACTATAACTTTCAAAAACTTGATAAAGACATCCAGAAGGACTTGATTTTTGAATATGTAAATTTATGATTGATATTTCACAATATTATTCCATATCGCTTAAATATAAGCTTCGCAACAAGAACTCAAGATGATTATTTTAAATATTTTACTCGTTTATATGAATTTTTAACAATTGCAGCCAATATTCTCAATGTACCAAGAACACATATCCGATCATCTCGTTGAATAAACTCCTTAAGATGTTTTAGATCAGCATCATAATTAAGAATTGCTTCTGCACCAGGAGTATCACGTGATATAACAAGAAGGTTATTTAATGCCTAAAAAAAAAGTAAAACATAAAATTTAATTGACTATTCAAAGACGAATATATCTTCTTTATGCATATTACCTATCAATGAAAATAATTCGTGCATAAAAATGACGAATAAGAGAAAACCCATGCAATACATGCAATAAAAAACACAATAAATCTGATTTTCCAGAAAAAAAAAACACAAAACTTTTTTATATAGATAATCAAACTAAACTTGATTCATACAGTTTCTTGTTGATTTGATTTAGAAATAATAGTTTCAAACATTTGTTGTATTTGACTATTTAATTGTGTTTGTTGTGAAATCTTTTTTTTAGAAAATAAAATGAATAAAAAAAAAACTTAGATTTGAAAAAAGAAAATACTTTGCTCTGTGCACTTTCACGTAATTTTCGTAAAAGATTATATGTTTGTTCATCTGTAGATCCGCCTTTTGATGAAATAGATATTAATCGTTGAGCATCTGATATAGCTTCATTTAATTTTCCCGAACGTTCAAA